CGGCACGGCAACGGCCGCGACAGCTTCTCCAACACTGCCAAGTCAGCTTTCTCCTCAGAAGACATCTTGGACTTCGACACCACGTCGTATTTTCTCGGCGCCCGAGTCCAGTATAAATGGAACAACGCATCTCCCGCGTCATTAAAGAAATATTTGTTGCCGTTGGCTGGCCGAATCATCACCTTAAAGAACCCTACTTTGAATCCCTTGTAGGAGGTCGTAAACGGCTGAAGTAAGCAATGCTCTGTCCGGACCAACGACAGCCACTTTGCCTTCTTTGTTGGCCGAGAGGAGTAAAAGTATAAGAACAGATGGGGAGTCGGCTCGATGCCAAGTGCTAGGCATAATTGCCGAAACCCTTGCATCGCGTCCCAGCTTTTCGGATGCAACTGTGTCGGCGCAACGTTGAGCAAACGAAGCACACCCATAAAAAACTTATCAAAAGGGAGGGTCACTCCTAAGTCACGAAACAAATAGTCGTACATGAAAAAGAAGTTATATTTACACTCCCCTCGGCCAAGAAATACAAAATCCGATTCCCATGACCCATCGTTCCGGCATGATTCGAAGAAGAAACCGGAAGGCACCTCTCTCCGAAGAGTAACAAAGTTCTCCGAGTCGAACAGCAAAGCAATTGAGCTCTTATCAGTATACCGAGAAAATACACTACCTACCTCCCCATGTACCCATCTATAGCCAGGAACTTCTATAGGACCGAACCCACGCGAAGCCGAAGCCGAACCGGCTCAACGAGTACTCGGTCGGCCCTCAATCATCTCGAGAGAAGAAGCTTCCTCCACACTTCGGGACTACTCAAATCCCTCGACAACTTCTACACTAACCGATTCCTGCGTCGCCAAATCCGAAGCTTCTCGGTGAGAAGGCTCACGCGAACCCAGACCAACAGAGACAGCTCGACTACTCCCAGTGGAACCAGCCTCGGAAACCCTATCCTCTACATCTACATTTAAATCAGCCATTGAAATGTACCTTAATAAGAAGTCAGCCCCGATCGGCAACCCGCACTCAGGATCGATCTCTAAGTCGGCTCGGAGCAATCACACGCCACAACCAAGTAAACACACTAGGACTTGGTCCCCACCACCCCTATTTATAGTATTTTCAAAAAACGAATACTAACCGCTACCTCCATAGGAACCGTAGGATCAAATTGATCCAACGACCCACGAGCCCCAACTCTTCAAATTTCCCTCATTGATACCCAACGGTTATAACCTTTCATATCCCACGTTCGTTCCCAACGGTTATAACCTTTCATATCCCACGTTCGTTCCCAACGGTTATAACTTTTCACTCACACATTTATTACCCAACGGTTACGACTCTTCACATTCTTACAATTAATACTTAGCAGTTATAATTGCCCACGTCGCACCAACCACCACAACCGCCAGGACAATTCTACCCTTAGCGTCATTACACTCCTCAAGGCTGGGGGGCTTGTGTACCGGAAGGGTCCTATCGGCCACGTGGAGTGGCCACGTGGACCGACACGTCATGTCCTATCAGATATTGACGTAGCTCAGATATCACCTCGGCTCGGCAATCGGCCACGTGGACCGTCACGTCATGCCCCTTCATATCGACGCAGCTTAGATACCACTTCGGCTCGGCAAGGGACCGAGAACCGCATCCTTCCCCTATCGGCTCGGTTGAAGGCTAACAGACAGAATAATTAGAATGACGATCATGATTAACAAGGGACAAAGCACAATTAAGGCATAACCCGACGATTAACATCGCATTACCTAATTTGGTAAGTGTCACAGAAGGCCCACCATGCTCAGGCCCATGTCAGGTATTATAAATAGGTCACCGTAACGAGGTATATGACTGTTCATTTATTACCCTAGAGATTCGTGCTTGTCCTGACTTGAGCGTCGGAGTGTCTTTTGCAGGTACCTCCTCCCTTTTTTCCAGAAAGATCCACCAGAAGCTCCCGTTCGGCCCTTTATCCACCTGAAGATTACGAGTGTGCCCTTAGGCATGTACAATATTATATTTTAAATTTATGATAAATAATTTATATGTGACACAAGATTATTTTTAATTATTGATAATTTATTTTAAAATTATTAATATTTAATTTATAAATAAATATGATAAATAAAAATTTAAGTAAATAAGAAGTAAAAAAGAACCCCTAAAATTTTATCATTGAAGAAAAATATCTAAAAATATTATCATTAATAACAAATTCTTAAAAAAACTCTCACATAAAATGAATGTTGATATTTAATATATAGTATAGATATAAGAGTAAACATGTAATTTTTTTTTTTTTTTGCTTGATCTATAAATTTTTATAGATTGAAATTTTTAGAATGGGGTTTTCACATTTTTAAATTCTAAGATAAATTTGTTTTTCTTGCATGGGTTTAGATGGTGCAAGCCCCAAACTAAAAATCACAAGAAAGTCTTTCGGCTCAGATGCCCTAATTTTAAAAGATTTTTTAAATGAATAAAATAACAAAATTGGGCTTTAGGGTCCAATCTAAACAATAGAGAATTAAATAAAAACAACCAGACTAGTCCCTTGAACCTATTATAATCATAATTGATTTGTATGTTTCTTTCTAACAAAAACTAACTTTATTTGGACAAAATTTTCATAACATTTCAGGAAAAATAAAAATAAAGAAGTAAATAATTTTTTTCAAAAGTTAAAACTATATTATAGGTTTGTTCAAATAAACTTCTTTATAATTAATTTTAGAAAAAAAAAATAGAAGACATGAGGTAAGCTCTCCATAAGCTAAAAGTAGTTTATGTATAAGATAATTTGTAGAAGTTTTCTTATATAAGTTTTCCAAAAATTTATTTTAAACTTATGCATAAACTATTTTTAGTGTATAGAGAAATTCATTTCTATTTTTATTTTTTATTTTTTTTTATCTTAGAAGTGTTTATGAAAAAAATTATCAAAACAATCTATAAGCTAATTTGTAGGATCTCTCTCATATTAATTTTTTTAAAAAAATTATTTTTAAATTATGAAAAAACTAATTTTTACTTATAGAAAAATCTATTTTATTTTATTTTCTTATTTTCTTCTTTTAGAAGTAAGTATGTAAAAATTTATCAAAACACGTAAAACATGGACAAGGATAGAAATAAGAATAGAAAGAAAAAAAAAATAGAACATCTTATCTTTGGACAAATAATTTATCTTTCTAATTAGATGGTAAGGATATTGTTGAAATTAACAAAGATGAAATAAATAATAAGAGGAGGCAAGAAAATAGTAAATGGGTAAAATATGTTTTTTGCGTCCTTTATTTGTATAACTAGAGAATATGGAAAGTGATTTTCAAATTAGTGTAGTAAGAGCTTATTGAAGGGGGAAAAAACTTATTTAAAAAATAAACACTTCATTCCTTAAAAATTAACTTTTATTTTATTTATTTTACTTTCTTCTCGTATAAATATTTGTGAAAAAAATTAATCCAAATAAAACTTAAAACAAGAACAATAATAGAAATAAGAATGGAACAAAAATAAAAATTAGATCATGTTATCTTTGGGACAATTAGTTTGTTTTTCTTAGAATATTAGATGGTAAGGATATTGTTAAAAGTAACAAAGATCAAATAAATAAACAAATCGAGAAAGCAAGAAAATATTAAATGAGTAAAATATGTTAATCGTAATTCTTACAAGGGTGAGTTACACACATAAGTTTATGAATTGCAGTCTCACACCCTAATTCTAACAAGTGCTCGTAGTAGATCCATCGCCCTACTTAAATCAATCATATCAATCCTTAGATCCCATTTTTGGAAAATCTCACTTCAAAACTTTATCCATCAAAATTTCATGGAAAAAGAGTTGAATTGAGATGTAATAACTTTTCATAACCTTTCTAAGTTTTTACTCAAGACGACCTTCGTGTTCAAAAAGTTTTTGACGTTAAAGGTTCAAACACTTGTAAAGTTTGCTCTCTATGTGGTTAGTCACTAGTTATTGCAAGATATTTTAATATAATCCTAAGAACCTAATGCCAATTCTTAGTATCCTCATATTTAGAAGATTCAATACTTAAACACGAGATCTTCTAAAAAAATTTGTCATGGAGAAAAGAGAATTGTTCATGTAGTTAAGAAGATTCATATAGCTCAGAAAGTTGTTGTTTAGTTTAGAATGATGCACTCATAAAATTGTTACTTAAAATGCTCCTTAACACCTCTCATACATGCACAAATCTACTTTCACGTTTTTCTAAGGTTTCTATGCTTGATAAATAAACATTTGAACTGATTTGAAAATAGATTTAATAATTAGAGTTTATATAGTTCAAATATGCACATTTATAATGAAGTTAAGCTTACATAAAGTCCTCTAAAATATTCATTCTTATACCGTATGATGGCCAACCTGGCCGAATACCCGACCCCTCGAACACTTGGGCCGAATACCCGACCCCCCGAACACTTGGGCCGAAAACCTGACCACTAGAACACTTGTCCGAACGCCCTAACATACCGACCACTTGAGAATCGAACGGAGTATGTCGGTATGCTCGGCCAAAACCCTGTGCCTACTCCAAGACGATTACAAAGAGCTTAATTAACGTAATGCATTGGATTAGCCCCCTAATTTCCCGGGGCCCAATCCCTAATCACGGCCCAATAAGAAGTCCTATAAATAGGGTCCCAACGAGGTACGTAACTAACTTTCAACTACCGCATTTATTACGCCGAGCACTTACTTGAGCGTTGGAGTGTCTTTGCAGGCACACCCCCCCTCACATCGGACTACCCGGATAGGAACGAGAAGACCGAGACCCAAGATCCGACCTGCTACAACAAGGATAATTGAATGTGTTTCCTAACACAAGAACATTTGGCGCCCACCGTGGGGCCCGAAGAGACATTTTCAGCCCCCTAGAACTCTACAACTGAGACCGAGGCATGGTAGTAACTCGCAAAGGACAATCAACGACAACTCAACCAATCCCGAACCCCGAAATAAATCCCGTTATGGCCAATCAAGAGCGTTACCCGTATGGAATGCCTCAAACAGAGCCGGAGCCTGTGATACAAGAGGTCCAGCCGAACGCTAACCGAGACCAACATGATCTCCATGATGACTTGCGTGCATTACGCGAGGAAATGGCCGCTATCCGAAGGCAGAGAGAGGCCGACGCAAGGGAATTGGCCGAGCTGCGACGACAGAATGCCCAGCTTCGAAGCCTTAACCAAACATGTGTGCCGTCAACCCCTACCCTCCAAGAGGAGTCGGCATATCACGCCCCGACCGACCATATGACCCGAACCCCGGTCACCTCGTTGATAGCTAACAAGGCCGATACCACCACTCACTCCCTAAGGCATCCCTTTTCTCGAAGAATAATGGAGGCAACCCTGCTAGACCATTGGAAAGCATGCCGATTGAGAAGTACGACGGGTCATCCGACCCCGAGGAACATTTGAACGTCTTCTTGACCCAAGCGACCCTCTCTACTCAGGACGACTCGGCTTTGTGCCGAATATTTCCCATGTCGCTGAAGGGAAGAGCTTTGAGCTGGTTCACGAGGTTGCCGAGCGCCTCCATCGACTCGTTTAGCGAGTTGTCGTCCCAGTTCGCCCTACAATTCGCAACGAGCAAGCCGTACAAGACGACCTCTTTAGCCTTGGCGGGGGTCCGTCAAGAGAAGAAGGAAAACCTAAGAAGCTTCATGGACAGATTCAATAAGATTGCGATGGAGATTGGAGATCTTAACCCCGCCGTGGCATTGGATCGGCTAAGCACGGCCCTCAGGCCAGGACCATTTGTAAACAGCTTGTGTAAGAAGCCCCCAATTGATATGAACGACCTCCGGCGCCGAGCAGAGAAGCACATGCAAATGGAAGAACTTGCGGAGACCCGAAACCAGGCCAGGGCGGAAGAAAATTTTAGCCAGAAAGAACCTGGCCGAGAGCAGGTGAAAAAGATGAACGCCGAGCCCTCGAATACTCGCCCCCCAAAAGGACCTCGCTACGCGGCATACACTCCCCTCAATGCGAGTAGAGCCAAAGTGATGGAGCAGGCCCTCGCTTCAGAAATCCTTGCGATGCCGAAAAGGGCGAACACACCCCCCAGAGCCGACAAAGCCAAGGCGTGCCGATTTCACCGAAACATGGGGCACTCCACCGAAGAATGCTCTGCCCTGAAGGACAAGCTCGAGGACCTTATCAAACAGGGTCACCTCAGAAGCTTTATCACCATTCAAGACCACCCGTCAGGGGAAAGAGACCACCACTCTCGTGAAGCTCGGCCGCTGAGAGACCGACGCTGTCGATCACGTTCGACCGAAAGGCAAGATCGATCACAGCGCCCCAGGGGAGACAATGACCGACCACGGAAGGTGATCAACACAATAGGCGGAGGTTTCGCCGGAGGCGGGTCCACCTCATCGGCGCGAAAACGACACCTCCGCGCCATTCGATCAGTAAACAGTGTGAACCAACCGAGGATGCCTAGAATGCCACCTATAACCTTTTCCGACCAGGATTTCCGTGGCGTCGACCCCATACAAGACGACCCTATGGTGATTTCGGTCGAGATGCACAACTGCATTGTGAAGAAAACATTGGTCGACCAGGGGAGCTCAGCCGACATCTTGTACTGGAATACTTTCGTGCAGCTCGGAATCCCAGAGGAGAGCTTAGAGCCATACCACGAACCACTAGTCGGCTTCTCGGGCGAAAGAGTGATGACGAGGGGATGCATCGACCTATATACCCGTTTTGGGTTCGACCAATAGTCTTTCCGGGAGATCAAAGTCCGTTACATTGTGGTACACGCAAACACATCGTACAACATTCTTCTTGGCCGACCGTCAATCAATGCGCTGGGGGCAATTGTTTCGACACCTCACCTATGCATGAAATTTCCGTCGAGGAATGGGCAGGTAATCACCGTACACGCCGATCAGAAAAAAGAAAGAGAATGATACCTTTCTAGCTTGAAGGTGCAACCGATGGCCGTCCCCCAGACGACGAGAGGCGTAAACGCGGTCCGACAAGAGATGGCCGAGCACATCGACCTCGACCCTCGGTTGGGAGAAGAAGAGCGAATCGAGCCCGCAGAGGACCTTGTCCCGTTTCAGCTGGGGCGAGAGCCCGAACAGGTTACTCAATTGGGATCCCAACTGAGTAAAGCTGATTCAGACCGGATGAAACGAGCAGTTAGAGATAACAAAGACCTATTCGCATGGACGGCGGCCGATATGCCGGGGATAGATCCAAATTTCTTGTGTCATCGATTGGCTGTATGCCAGGACGCCCGACCGGTTGCTCAAAAGAAGAGGAGGATGGGAGATGAGAAGAGGAAAGCTGCGAACGCCGAGGTGCAAAAACTTTTACATGCGAGGTTCATCCGAGAGGTCACATACACCACTTGGCTGGCTAATGTGGTGTTAGTAAAAAAGTCGAATGGGAAGTGGAGAATGTGCACCGACTACACCGACCTCAACAAAGCCTGTCCCAAGGACGCCTATCCACTCCCATGCATCGACCGACTCGTTGACGGCGCTTCCGGGCATGCTATATTTAGCTTCCTAGACGCCTACTCCGGCTACAATCAGATCAAAATGCACCAGCCGACGAAGAAAAGACAACGTTCATAACCGAGAACGCAAATTTTTGTTATAAAGTAATGCCATTTGGGTTGAAGAATGTTGGGGCTACCTACCAGAGGTTAATGGACAAGGTGTTTCACAGTCAGATAGGCCGGAACATCGAGATATATGTGGATGATATGATGATAAAGTCCAACTCTCTGGCCGAACACTTAACCGACCTGGCCGAAATCTTCGGTGAACTCCGCAAGCACAACATGAGACTCAACCCAGAGAAGTGTATCTTCGGGGTCAAGGGAGGAAAATTCCTAGGTTTCATGCTATCGGCGAGAGGCATAGAAGCGAACCGAGACAAATGCCAGGCCGTGCTGGGCATGCGAAGCCCGAGAAACCTAAAGGAATTGCAACGCCTCTCTGGAAGATTAGTCGCCCTATCCCGATTCCTCCCACGGTTAGGCGATAAAATTAGCCCGATGACAAAACTCCTGCGGAAGGCATCAGTCTTCTCATGGGACGAACATTGTGAAGCAGCCTTCATAGCTTTGAAGACGACCTTGGCGACACCACCGACCCTTACGAAGCCTGATCCTTTGTGCCCAATACTTGTATATTTAGTTGTGTCCGAAGAGGCGATCAGCTCGGTTCTGGTGCAAGAAAAAGAAGGCAACCAAGCTCCTGTATATTTTGTCAGCCGACTACTGCAAGACTCAGAAACCTGGTACCAGTTGATTGAAAAGGTGGCACTCGGTCTAATACACACTTCCCGACGCCTGCGCCATTACTTCCAAAGCCACCGAATTGTCGTACACACCAACTGTCCCATCGCTAAGGTATTAAGCAAACCCGAACTCGCCGGAAGAATGATGGCCTGGTCGATGGAACTCTCACAGTTCGACATCACCTTCAAACCAAGGGGACCGATCAAGGCTCAGTGTTTGGCCGACTTCATAAATGAACTTCACCCACAGGGCCAATTCGAGGAACAATGGTGGACCCTCCATGTAGATGGATCCTCAAACAGCCAGGAGAGCGGGGTAGGAGTGATCTTAGAAGGACCGAGAGGGATAACCTTGGAACAATCGTTGCGTTTCCGGTTCAAAGCCTCGAACAACCAAGCCGAATACGAAGCTCTATTGGCAGGATTAAGACTAGCCGAGGACATGGGTGCATCAAAAATCAAATGCCGAACCGACTCCAAAGTGGTGGCCGAGCAAGTTGGCGGAAGTTTCCAAGTAAAAGACCACAGCATGATAAAGTACTATCATGCCTATCAAAAAATGAAAGCGAGCTTTCAGGAGGTGTTGGTCGAACACATCCCGCGCGAAGACAACACCCGTGCCGACCAGTTGGCTAGGCTGGCCGCGACCAAGAAGCCAGGACATCTGAGAACGATCATTCAGCAAGAGATCGACCACCCTAGTGTCGATGCAGAAGTGGTTACAAATGTCAATGCCGACCATGCCAGTCAAGATGACTCTGAAGACTGGCGAGCCGAAATCAAAGAGTTCCTCATAAGTGGAATCGCCCCAACCGACCCGACCGAGGCCAAACGATTAAGAACCCAAGCCAGTAGATACATTGTCGTCGCTGGCCAGCTGTACAAACGCGGTTTCTCTACCCCGTTACTCAAGTGCCTAAACTCCGCCGAGGCCGACTATGTGACGAGAGAAGTACACGAGGGTATATGCGGACTGCATTCGGGGGCGAGGACGACCGTCTCTAAACTCCTACGAGCCGGGTACTATTGGCCGACCAGGAACCCCGACTGCGCAGCGTTCGTAAAGAGATGCCAGCCATGCCAGACACATGGCAACTTGATTCATCAACCGGCCGAGCAGCTACATTGCATTCCTCCAGCCTGGCCGTTCGCCACATGAGGGGCCGACATACTCGGACCCTTCCCAGTTGCCAAGGGACAATGCAAGTTCCTCATCGTCGCCGTGGACCTATTCACCAAATGGATCGAAGCTGAGCCCTTGGCATGTATCTTGGCTCATCAAGTCCAGAAATTTCTATGGAGGAACATCATTACCCGGTTTGGTGTCCCGCACACTCTGGTGACCGACAACGGCCTTCAATTTACCGACCGAAAACTAAATGAATTCCTAAATGGCTTGGGTGTACAACATAAGGTCACGTCGGTCGAACACCCGCAGACGAATGGTCAGGCCGAGTCGGCCAATAAAGTCATCTTGGCAGAGGTGAAGAAACGCCTTGGAGAAGCAAAAGGAGCATGGGCCGAGCAGTTGCCCGAAGTGCTATGGGCCTACGGATGCACGCCCCAGTCGACTACGCAAGAAACTCCTTTTCGCCTAGTCTATGGATCTGATGCAATGATCCCAGTGGAAATCGGGGAACCTTCGTTCCGCCGAACCCACTACGACGAGTCGAACAACGAAGCCGAGCTCCGGGCAAACCTGGACAACGTGGAAGAAGTTCTAGACCAAGCACAAGTTGTGGCCGAGGCCACCAAACAACGTTACAAAAGAAGATTGGACAGCAAGGTAAAGCCTAGAGAATTCCGCGAAGGCGATCTCATTTGGAGAGCCACAGGCGAGGCAAGGAAAGATCCGAGACATGGGAAACTCGCCCCAAACTGGGACGGTCCCTTCCGAATCTGACACAACCTGAACAACGGAGCGAACAAGCTGGAGCACCTATCGGGAGAACCAATTCCGAGAACCTGGAATTCCTCTCATTTGAAAATGTATTACAGCTGATGTAACAGTGCACTCTTTTCCTTAGCCGATTCTTTTTTCCCTAAGGAGGGTTTTAGGTCGGCAAGGTTTTTAACAAGGCACTTCATTGATAAAAGTTCCAAAATTTCATTATATCGTTTGCAATTTTATTGTATGCCTAGGTCGAACACTACGCATGAAAGCAACGACACCGACCAACAGGTCGAAATGTGCACTCGCGCCCAACAGGTTTCCCTCCCGACACCGACTAAACCCGAGCAATCCTCGGTCAAGTTCGAAATGTGCACTCGCGCCCAACAGGTTTCCCTCCCGAGTACCCTACTCGGCTAAGGATGTGCCTAGGCCGAGCACTATGTCAACGACAACGACACCGACCAACATTCGGTCGACGACGAAAAAACACACTCGTGCCCCAAGCCGAGCACTACGCACAACGTGTACTAAACCCGAGCAATCCTCGGTCCAATTCGAAATGTGCACTCACGCCCAACAGGTTTCCCTCCCGAGTACCCTCCTCGGCTAAGGATGTACCTAAGCCGAGCACTATGTCGACGACAACGACACCGACCAACATTCGGTCGATGACGAAAAACACACTCGTGCCCCAGGCTGAGCACTACGCACTATGTGTACTAAACCCGAGCAATCCTCGGTCAAGTTTGAAATGTGCACTCGCGCCCAACAGGTTTCCCTCCCGAGTACCCTCCTCGGCTAAGGATGTGCCTAGGCCGAGCACTATGTCAACAGCGACGACACCGACCAACATTCGGTCGATGATGGAAAACACACTCGTGCCCCGGGCCGAGCACTGCGCACAACGCGTACTAATCCCGACCGACCCTTGGTCAAGTTCGAAATGTGCACTCGCGCCCCAGGTTTCCCTCCCGAGTGCCCTCCTCGGCAAAGGAAGTACCTAGGCCGAGCATTACCCGAACGCTCCGTCGACAAACATTCTCGGCCAAACACTGCGCAATGGGCGTCAAAACCGAGCAATACGTGGTCGATCCCGAAACGCGTACGCAAGCAACAAGCTTTCACTCTAACAGACCAAATAAACTTAAGCGGAAGCTTCGATGACCTAACGTTCACGAAAACCGAACACGCTCGTATAAACAAACACATCGCGCATCAAACACCATCATAAATCGCGAAATCTGACCTCTTGGCCACACATACAAGTCAGTTTATGTTAACATTATTGAACACTTATAAACACGGAAAGTTGAAAAGCAAAGTCTATTAAAAACAGGTATGGCCGACCACAACGGCTACTTACAAAAAATTAACTATCCACCGGCGCCGATGGCCAAGTTACAAAAAGGCACTAACGGCCCGGTTACAAAAAACAAACAAACCTACTCTACTTCCGCCAGAACCAATTCCTACACCGCGGCCGAGACGTCCGGAATCCCATCACCTACCACGTCTATAATTGGGTCATCTTCCTCCGTAGGCGGAGGTATCGGTGCTTGCGTGGAGATACCTCGGCGGGGAGCCTCGTCATCAGGGTTGGCACCCTTTGCGAACTCGGCATAACTGATGTACTTACCCCCGTAAAAATCTCGACTGACGTCAAAGTTAAAATAAACCGGGATCTCACAGAAGTACTGGGCTTATCGGACTGCTTGCTGGAATCCCGCATCATGTTGTTCGAGGATCTTTTCGGTGGCCTCGGCTTTCAGTTTAGCATGCGCCTCGGTTAGCCAAGCAATCTCAGCCGCCGTAGCCGCGGCCTCAACTTTCATCTTCTGCACCGACAACTTCAAGTCATCGGCCTCCCTCCTATAGCCATCGGCCGATCTCTTCAGTTTGTCAGCCGACTCTGTAGCTTTAGCATTGGCAGCCAAGGCCTCCTTCACTGTCGCCTCGGCCTCCTTTAACCGGGTTTGAAGTCGCTCAGTCGAGACAGCCGACCTCATCATTACATGCTTGGCCACCAGCGAAGTCCGCACGTCGAGCTCGCAGAAGAGCTTGTACTCGGCCTCCATAGACATACCCTCCAAGTACTGGAGCCCCCCTCCGGTAGCGAGGTCCAGGCTAACCAAGTTCTCGGACTGGACGGCCGGGGCCAAAAAATTTGACCCAGCAACAACAGCCGGGATAGCAAACCCCCCACATCCGGATTGCTCCAGCGTTATTTGTTTTTGACGTTTGGAGGAGGTGCCCGGCTGCTCGGCTTCCACGTTCTGGTCGGTCTGACGAGTCTGAGAGGTCCCTGTCCTCTTCCTCTGGTCAGCCAAGGGAATTATTACAGGCACGGGCTTATCCCTCAGAATCCTCAATGCCGACTTCACCGGTGGCACCTTTCCACTGGCCTTGGGATCTTTGGCTCGCTTGGCGAGCATGGCGGTCACGTCGAGATCCCCTCCGGCCATCAATCCTGCATCAAAAGAAGTCTTAACATCAATTCAAAACACTGCTACACTACCGAAGCCTAAAACACATACCTAGCAAAGCCATCTTGAAGTGAGACGTTTCAAATACGTCCAAGAGGCCTCGGACAGGTAAGCCCTTCGGAAACTTATTAAGAAGCTCCACAATTTCTTTATCCTCGGCAGGGAGCTTGGAAAAAGGTATCGCCTCGAAGCGCGTCGGCCGCCTCGTCCAATAGAAGGGGAATAGCGGGTTGTCCTCCCGGTCATAGAAGCAATGTCTCAAATCCGAACCCCAACGAACCTTAAAGAACCCACTCTTAAATCCCTTGTAAGAGGAGGTGAATGCTCGGAGAAATCCACGCTTCGGCACTCGAGCTAACGACACCCATTTCACCGGCTTGCTCGGCCAACAAATGTAATAATAGAGGAAGGCAAGGGGTCGAGGTGTTAGGCCGAGGCAGAAGCATAGATTACGGAATGCTTGCATGGCCGCCCAGGCATTAGGGTGTAGCTGGGTCGGCGCCACGTTTAAAGCACGTAGGACTCCCATCTAAAAATCATCGAAGGGCAATGTCACGCCGAGATCCTCAAACCAACACATATAGGCGTAGAAATAGTCGTCCTCATCGGATCCCGGCTCCAAGAACACGAAATCAGTGTTCGGCCCAACGTCCTCGCACGCCTCGGCAAGCAACGAGAACTCGTCCTCCCCACTCCCGAAACATTTCTCTATAGACACGAAAGTATCCAACAACTCTTGGTCGGATAACTTTGAAAAGTACACGCCGACCTCTCCCTCTACCCATTCATACCCGGGCATCTCCACCGTGCCGTAATCAATCTTCACCTTTGGCTGATTCCTCGGAGCGGCCACGGCTTTACCCCGACCATCAACAACCACTTCCAAAGCATCTTCAGTCGCCTCGGCGTGAATCACCTCGGCCGGAGCGCTTTGTTCGCCGACCTGTCTGAAACCCCTATCATTCACCTCGGTGGCTCGTGCTAAGGCCACGGCCAAAGTCAATGGGGGTGATACTTCTATCACTTCGTCCCCACTATCCTCCTGCTCGGCAAAATCAGAAGGAAAGACCACTTCACATTGCAAGGGAGGCAACCTTGATATTTCACTTGAACCCAACTCCTCTCGATCCGACGAATGGCCCGACGCCTCCGAAGACGTACAAGCCCTACCCGAGGAATAGTCCTTATCCATTTATTAAGCGGAACAAAGAATACAAAATTTACCTTTGATCGGTTTGCTCGATTACTTTTGAAGTCGAGAGCGCTCGGCAAATTTACAGCAAGTAAGTTCACCAGCAGCCCCTCCCCTATTTATAGGCAAGGTAAATGGGGGAGGTGAAAAGACGTCCCGACACCCCAACCGTTCGATCTAGGCCATCCAACGGTCCAAATTTAGTAACCGTTGGACCCGTAACCGCTAGGGCCAACCTGGCAGGCCACACCCGCCGAGGCCTCGGTGCAAACTCTAATAGGCGTCTAGGCATAGGCTTCGTCCATCGAAGGCCTCGACATATCCTCATCTATCCTAAACCTCGGCCTAACCACCGTCTAGCAGAGGTATCGGCCTACATTTATCTCCACGAGGTCTCGATATTCGCTCCACGCGTCAGAGGTCTCGGCCTAGATCTCTCTCACTTGATGTCAGAGGTCTCGGCCTACATTTATCTCACCACGAGGTCGCGATATTCGCTCCACGCGTCAGAGGTCTCGGCCTAGATCTCTCTCACTTGATGTCAGAGGTCTCAACCTACATTTATCTCACCACGAGGTCGCGATATTCGCTCCACGTGTCAGAGGTCTCGGCCTAGATCTCTCTCACTTGATGTCAGAGGTCTCAACCTACATTTATCTCACCACGAGGTCGCGATATTCGCTCCACGCGTCAGAGGTCTCGGCCTAGATCTCTCTCACTTGATGTCATAGGTCTCGGCCTACATTTCAATCACCTGAGGCCCCGATCCAGGCTACGCCATGCCGAGACTTGTCAAAACTGCCCTTGCTTTCCCACCGACAACCATGATGTCACACATTTCTTACCGTCTTCGTCTTTTACATCCTCAACGCTGCGGGGGTTGTATAGCGTATGATGGCCGACCTGGCCGAATACCCGACCCCTCGAACACTTGGGCCGAATACCCGACCCCCCGAACACTTGGGCCGAAAACCTGACCACTAGAACACTTGTCCGAACGCCCTAACATACCGACCACTTGAGAATCGAACGGAGTATGTCGGTATGCTCGGCCAAAACCCTGTGCCTACTCCAAGACGATTACAAAGAGCTTAATTAACGTAATGCATTGGATTAGCCCCCTAATTTCCCGGGGCCCAATCCCTAATCACGGCCCAATAAGAAGTCCTATAAATAGGGTCCCAACGAGGTACGTAACTAACTTTCAACTACCGCATTTATTACGCCGAACACTTACTTGAGCGTTGGAGTGTCTTTGCAGGCACACCCCCCCTCACATCGGACTACCCGGATAGGAACGAGAAGACCGAGACCCAAGATCCGACTCGCTACAA